TCCAACCAATTTAATGATTCATGATAGGGAGTTGTTTGAATGTGCATACCAGTTGACTATTCATCCCGCGATCGGAAAAATCAACATTCAACGAATGAAATTACTTCCATTTTCATTGCTCATCAGTGAAGCAAAAATTGTCATTTCAATCTGTCCAAGGTGAGCAGAAATTGAGGAGTTTGGGTACTTGGCAGCGGATGGAATTGATTTAAATAATACAAAAATCCCTTATTATGTATAGGTACAAACCGAATGGCAACTTGAAAGACAATGGTTTTTCTACCTATCAAAGTAAAAACGCGGTTGTGAATTGTAATGATCAACAGGGAATTAGATGGAAGTCACTAATTTATGAACCCATTAGTCCGATGTATAAGACGTTTTATGAAATCCAACTGATTTTTGACGCAGTCAAAATCCCCTACGATTAGCAATTTAGCCCTGTCCACAAGTCGATACTATACGTTATAATTATGAAAAACAATAGTTTTATTATACTACTAATAAATGGAAACATGAACGGTGAAAACAGGAGTTATCTACATTTCTATTCCTGCCTTCATAGAAAAGTGGTCCAAATTAACACCAGCATCTCATCAACGGTAACTTCACATCGTTAGATTCTACCATATTTTCGACTGTATTATGTAACTGGAAGGATGTAGTAAGTTTTTTTAGGGGTTAATTGTGCAACGTTACGGTGCTGTGTTTCCCATTCATATACAACTATTGAAATTAAATACGAAATCGATTCAACGAATTTCAAACTGAGAACATTTGATTACGTGCCGGCGCCGAGTTCCGAGTTTTCGTCTAGTAAATCGCATTTCAGTGAGACTTTTCCGGTGCATGGTGCTGTTCAGTCGACTTTCGTCCATTCGCATGACCTGTGCTATTCTGTGACAATGTGGATTTGCAATGGTCAGTGAACTGCATACAGATCACGATATGGTAAATGCTATTTCTATACAATTAGCTTACGACCCCATACTAAAATCCGACAAATGCCTGTCTGATTCCTTGCGATGAACCTTAGCAGCAGCGGAATTTATTTAGATCTAAAGCAAGGATATAGCTCTGATGTAATTTGGCCTCTCCCCAGCGCAAAGCAAATGCTTACCACATGTTAATTGTTGTTTTACAGCTCCTAGCCGTCACTTTACGCCACATAGTAGGTTGGTGACAAAATATGGAAAATTGGTTTAAGTAGCTCGGGTAAACTGAATTCCATTTCACTTGTTCGCCGAGCTTGGCAGTTTGTTTGAAAACGTTTCATCAGCAGCCGAGGTGACTACATGAGCGCTTGTGAAGTGGTAGTGTTCTGCATGTACCCGTTGCTTTATATACGTGTTCTTCTCCACCGACTATTTTCGTCCCCTGCTCTCACTGTGTTCGACTCGGTTCGCCGTTGAACTGGTGCGCGGGGTTGAGGGTGGGAGGGGCAGGTTGCCCTTTCCTCTCGATGGCGGTTTCCGTCCGTTCTCAGGTCAAGACGTGAGATTTTTGTTGCGTCATTCAATCCTTGAGTTGCATTGGCGTGTACAAGTAATCCAGTTAGTGTGCCTGTTTATTGAGTTGATTGAAGAGTGTCAGGTCTCGAGAAATTCTCTGACGCGTTTCGACCAGGCTTGGTCGATAATTCTCACTGATTCGAAGTCACATTGATGTCCTTCTTGATCTTCGTAGAGGGAAATCATAGATAGTGGGTCATGCCTCCTGACTGCCGATTGGTGTTCACGGATCCTTTTTGACATTGTTCTCTCAGTTCATCCGATATAGTGCTTTGAACAGTTCCTGCAGTTTATTCTGTAAATGACGCTTCTCTTGTCCTTCTCCATTGATCTCTCCTTGGGTTTTGACAGAAGTCCCCTTTAGACAGGCGATCGGTTTGTGGGCGACTTGGATTCCATATGATATGAGCAGTCTTGCTGTCATTTCCGAAACGTCCTTGATGTACTGCAGGGCGTTCTTGTTCTCGAGTCTCCGTCTGTTGTTTCCCTCGTTTTTTGGGCCACAGTTCTTTTAATGCAGTTGCGGGTGTGGCGTGTTGATGATCAACTTGTTTATCCCTCTCGGTATCCATGGTGAACTTGATGCCATTGCACGTGTTATTGATAATATCATATGCTCGTTCTTGTTCCAACTTCTTCAAGATGACAAATGTGTCATGAACGTATGGGAGTAAAAGTGTTGGCATGCTTTTGGTAATACCTTTTTCTTCGGCTTCTGCATTACGGCCTAGGCTATGAATCTGGAAATTGACGATCCCATTGGTGTTCCGTTCAGTTGTTCGTAGATTTCACCCTCGAATATGAAGTACGTCTGCATGCATAGTTCCATGGGTTCGCAAATGGCAGCTAGTTCCGTTAATGGGTTTGGTGAGTGCTCAGTTATCGTTTCCCGCAATGTGATGTCAAAAACAATTTATCAAACAGTATTTTTCTGTCGATTTCATTTATACTTCTACCTTCCGTAATAATTCGTGTTTCAAACCAGACACAGTCACACAATCCATCAGAGCCGTTTGTCATTAGACTGGAGCTAGTAACCTAAATCGATTGCCACAGATAACAATATACGTTGATCCAACTCGAACCCTACTCTATGGGACTTGTCCTTATGTGTAAGACCGTAAACAGATTGCATCAGAAGCCAAACGCGAAATGATTCCACGAGAGAGTATAATGTGTGCTTCGCCAGCGCTTATCTCCTTGACTTGGACCAAACGATTAAACTATATTTTAATATGATAGTTCAAATGAGGAAGGAATAAGGGTGTAGAACAAAAGGAACAACCAAAATGAAATAAGATAAAAGCACCTGAAACGGTGGAACCGATCTGTCACACTCCGTTACCAGTGCTATCGACTTCATACTAACAAAAATGAAGGTGCATTCATCAACCTTTTGTTGAAAGCCAAGATAAACACAACCAGTTCAAGAAAGTCCAATTACAGTTTACGCATATAATATTCTTTGTATTTGTATCTGTATAGCTTTTGCAACCTGAGATATGCTTATATTTCAGTAAAAAATTGCATACTGGCCTTCACATCAATGTAGATCAAGATTCAGCCAGATACGGTACAGTGTTCGTTCTAGAGGGTAGATACTGATAAGAGGAACGAGTGATCGAGTGGGAGCGACAAGAAGATAAGTCAAAATCCAAAAGAATCTTATTGGCAAAGGTTACGCAAGACTTCACATGACCATTGCTGAGTTCTGTGATTAGTGATTCGGCAGAAATCAAAGATACACGGTTTATTATCATCAATCCACGACGGGTAGGTTTGAAGTCTTGTTTCAATAGACCGGCAAACACTACAGGGGAGAAGTAAAGTAAAATAGGGAGAACGCATTGTTTAACAAAGGAGAACAAAACGTGTTGGGGAGTGTGAGATTGTCTGACCTTACTGAGCTGAAAGGAAAGGAGTTGAAGTTTTTCCATGCAGTTATGAATGTGTGTCGACCACCGATGATTATTATCGATAGTAACACCCGGATATTTGGCTGAAGTCACTCTAGGCAAATGTTGCTATTAAGGGCTACAGAGTTTGACGGGAATGTAGAGCGGGAAGAACTAAAGGTTTACTTCAAGCACTTGGATGTGTTAAAAGGAATAAGGTAAAGAGGCACAAGACAAACATGGTCTAGGACTAGGCTTACGAAGCCAGTGAAGTGATGCGGACGTCTGTGTGCACTAACTCATTGAGGTTTTACATTTTATGTCAAAGATGTCAAAGATTTGTTTCTGCACTGCTTTTACCATTTCAATGAACTATGATATCGATGTTATATACTGCTCAATTGTATGAGTCATCTAATGCGTCAGGGCTCGAGACGACAGGATGAACTCAGCATGTTTCGAACAAAACAGGACGATGAACTACATCCCGTAACTGGTTTGATATAGTGATTTTGCCCTCAGAACATTTGTGTTTTACTCTATGCACTTTCTCCCTTTTGATGATGACGTTAATCTACGACCTGATGACGTCTCCTGTTGAAAAGTGATTCAGAATCGATTGATCGAGTGAGTAAAGAGATCTATAGTGAGCAGCGATGAAATAATGTTTGATTCAACAATAATGTGCATTCGTGCCATAGAAGAATATAACATTTGCTTAGTTGCCTAAAGGAGATCTGGGCTTTATAGCGTTGCTAAACTAAGCACTTAAATGCACCACAAAGAATAGGTGTTGATTTTATCTTATGTGTGACTGACACTCAACGTCACTCCCTTTATTTTTTTGGCTGTGGATAGCCGGAGAGAAAATCTTCTTAGTCCACAAGTTTTTGTCTCTGAGGAAAGAAAATTCAAATTACAAACCAAGTAGTAGCTGGCAATCAGTAGCAATAAAACTCATGAGGGAAAGCATTTGGAAAATGACACGAATCATGTGATCTTTACAGCTTTCATTTTTAATCAGTTCAACCCACTTTTTCCATTTATTAAAAAGTTTTGTGATTTATTTTTGTCATTGATAATAAGAATTACTGTGCATCCAATGATGTCAGTTTTGTTTTGTCACCTTGGTTTTGCCTTGGTGATGCCTTTCCCTATTTACAAGTGTTTAATTTGTAGTTCATTCCCAAACCATATATAAACATTGTATTTGTTTGCAGTAGGCACCAGTTGAGATGCAGTGAAATCCTCCAGGACATAAATCGTGCAATGTTGCTATACTGGCTTCTCTTTTCAAATTTTTCACGGGAAAAGCTTGTTTCAGTTTCCTTTTTATCTAAAAGCTTCGAATAAATCCACCGCGCCAGATTCATCATTAGTTGCCTATATTGCACATGTTGGACTATGTTTTATAGAATAACTATCAAAGAACCGTATTCAAAGAGTGCAAATGAATCTCCGAACCGGATCCAAGTAACTCAACTTAGCGCTGTTTGTACATTTTGATAAAAAAGTGTTTTCGGTTCTATTCACTTTGAATGCAGCTGTCAGTTACTATTTCCATGCGATGCGAATTTGTCCTGACACTACACTCCTAGGGAGCGGAACACAGGATTGCCGCACTAGGGAATTCCGTGAGATCACCCGGACCTAATTTGATTACAGGTGACTCGGAACCCGAACGGACTGGGCCTAAAAGGTACTAGTCGAAACCAACGGGAGGTTGCGCGATCTGACTCGTTCAGTCTGTTGTTCTGAGACAAACCGAAATTTACAGACCATGCCCTCGGGTTGGCTATTCGGCACTCGGCAACGATCACCGATTGATGCGGTATACAAGCGGTATACAAGTCAACATGATGCCACCACAAGCCAAAATGGTTTACACAAACAACAGGAGACAAACGCCAAGGGCAACCTGGCGATTCAGGGCACACATAAATCGACAAACAAACGGACATATAGATACATGCACAGCTGTGCAAATAAACAAAACTTTTGTCCCTTTTTCCTGTCATATAAGCACAAACGCACACACGTAAACACGCACATCGAAGTCCGAAACACAAATTTCTACTGTTTTCTTGTCCCAAGCTGAATGGGGGATATGCCATACAGTCCCTGGACAAACTTATTC